TTTTTCCTAGGTTGCTACATGGTCTTTTTCCTCATGTTCTTCAGGTCTGTCCCCTTCTTGACCCTCAAAGTCATTATCTTATCAGAGAGCCCTTGCCTGGATAGTCTTTGTAAAATCTTACCAGTCCGCAAACACTGTTCCCGCTACTTCCTATTTACTTCCCTTGTTAAGACACATCAATATCAAAAAGCCAGAAGTAGTAAAAAAATGAAAATAGTTTTTACCACTAAATGTCTTTCTTTTAAAACTCCTTAAATATGAAGGCCATTTTTTCTTAAACATTATTTTGGTCTTTATGTCTTAAAATTACCCACATACCCACTTTAAAGAGTTAAATAGTTCTAAGACTGGTTACTGCCATCAGTTTCAGGAGTAACTTTCCAATTCTATTGGATGATTCTTTTGGTATTTCCCACTGTGTCTAAATAACATGCTTATGTTGCTATGACCTAACTTCACTTTTGGGCCTTACTCATTTTCCACTGTGCAGGATGAGACGTAAGCCCTCTCTTCCCAGTGTCACACCCTGTGCATGCACACACACATGCAGCTCTCCCCTTCTTAGTATGATTAAATTGTACTTTTGGTTTCATCAAGATTTGATATTTTAAACCGTAAGCCCTAGTCATAGCTGAGCCCCATAATACACTGTGATTACTTTCCCTTCCTTTGTAGTGTTTTATTTTTCCTAAAGTTAAAAATTGTCATGATTTTGATTTGTTTACTTTTCTAGGTATGTTAGTCCATTCTTATGCTGCCAATAAAAACAGAAGACATACCTGAGACTGGGTAATTTATAAAGGAAAGAGGTTTAATTGACTCACAGTTTCCACATGGCTGGGGGATGGGCCTCACAATCATGGTGGAAGGTGAAAGAGGTGCAAAGTCAAGTCTTACATGGGGACAGGCAAAGGAGTGTGTTCAGGAGAACTGCCCTTTATAAAACCATCAGATGTCGTGAGACTTAATCACTATCATGAGAACAGCATGGGAAGGATCTACACTCATGATTCAGTTACCTCCCATCAGGTCCCTACCATGACATGTGGGAATTATGGGGATTACAATTCAAGAGGAGATTTGGGTGGGGTCATAGCCAACCATATCACTAAGTTATTAGCATCAATTCTACCTACCCAAGACTGTATCAGTTATGTATATCTTTTTTTAGTATATTCAGTCATCTATTTCTGCGATTTTCCTTTTCTTGAAAAAGTCTCTCATAGAATCTTTTTAAATCTGAATGATTGTTTTCAGGTCTGCTAGAGTTTAACTGAAACCACAGAGGTATCTCTAAGATTTGTTTACTCTCAAAAAAGCATTTGGGCAGTTGTTAAAGATATTAATACTATTGTCGTTGTCATTGTTGTTTTTCTAATATTATTTGACCAAATCATGAAAACAACTGTTCACTGTGAATTAGTGGTTCCCTTTTATGTGTTATAATCAAGACACCTTTTATTCAAAAAATATAGAATGCATTCTTTGTTGTATGTGAAACATATTAGGGATTACTGAAACAATCTGAATACATTGATTGTATATAGTATTTTTAAATTTTATTCTTTATAGGCTCTCAAAATTAGAGAGATGTGTAATTGCCCACCACTGTCTAAACCAGACCCTCGTTTGCTATTCAAACTCAGCATGAAGCATTTTCTCGAAGAATCAGAGAAAGAAGACCTAAATATCTCGAAGAAACAGAAAATGGATACTCTTTCTGTTCAAAAACAGGAACAAATACCATTAGCATACCTAGTTGAGAAAAGAACTGGCAGTTGAATTAAAATTTATGAGACACAAGGTATATGAAGAATGTTGCAGTCCTTATCATTTTATGTTACTTTTAAAAAAATGATGTTTGAAATGAACAAAAAGGATATTCAGGGTCAAATCATGTACATTACAGATATTATCTAAATTTTTCTAGAATTTATTTTTCATGAAATATTGATGTATTTTAATCTATGTTAAAATATCTTCAATGAGGAAAATGTCACAGAATAAATTTATATCACACATTTTACTCGGTCTTCTACTTTTGATTTAGAAGGCAGACCCCTAGTGGATGAGAAATGAGAACACACAAGTAGTTTTTATTGTAGAGAAGGTTTCAACTGAGCCTAAACTGGATTTCCAAGTCTGAGTGGTTATGATGAAGTGGGAAATAGTCTGAAGGTATCTGTTTGCAGGAAATTGTTAGCATCGGGGTGGGATTATGTGGAAAAAGGGACCTCAGGATAGAGAATTTCCTTGTCTTCACCTGTGGATGACTGGAGAAATGCTACAGGCGGAAGCTATTTTCCTAGAGAGACACAAGAAGTAGAGTTTGTGGTTCAGATGGCAAAGCAAGAAACAGAATTTGGGGAGAGGGCATTTCCATGGAGACACTGTGTTCCTGGTGCACTGAAGTCTTAACAGAAGATTGTGTCATTTGATTGCTTGATGGGATTACCATTTGGGAATCTCTGGGGTTCCCAGAGAAGATAACCACTCTGTTTCTATGACGGTGCCATCAAAAGAGCCAGAGGCAAGGCACTGCCCCCAAGTTGACCTTCTTGAGCTGCAGATATCAACAAGGGGACTGGAGGGAAATGACAAGAGAAGAAGCACAAGACACACCCCCAGTGGTGCCCAGTGCTGCATTATATAAATGTGGAAATATGACTTATTTAATATGTGTATTCCAAAACTAGTGAAGTCTAGTGATGCTTAGGTTATATTTCTAAGAAGGACATTTTTCTTTAAACACATTATATTAAATAAATATTTTCTTAGAGAATTACAGAGGAAAGGGACTACTTTCTATTGTGAATCTACTGTGAGCTGGGCCCTTTATTTTTTTCCATAACCCTGCTAGGTTTTATTATTATTATTTTACAATGACAAATAGGCTTGGAGAAGTTAAATAATATACCCAATGTCTCTCACTTTGATAGAACAAAGCTAGATCTATCTGACTACAAATCTGTCCCTTTTTCACTATGCTCAGATATCTAAGGGTAAGCTATCAAAACAAGGAACAAACTATTCTCAGTTGTTCATTAGCTTCCCCACATATGGCTTCAATACAAGTAAAAATCTCATAATTATGAAATCAGGGACCACTTGTGTTTCCTGCAGGTTGATTTTATAGGTTCTCTCAGACCCTTCTCTCAAAATTGACATGAAAAGCTTAAGATGAGGCAGTGTAGGAGGGTAGAACCTCTCCCACTGCCTGTGAAAGCCTGTGAAATCTCATCTGGGATGTGTCCTGTCACTAATAAATCTTCGTAGACAAACTCTAGTTGTTAAGAAGACAAGTTCAGAGGCTGTTTGTGTTTCTCAGGGCTTACTATACATTACTCGTAAGGAATTTCCTGATCTGCACACAAGACAACATTGGTCATAAAGAGGTTCACATTAACTATTCTCAATATAATCATTTTTTACACTCCTTGTGATTGGAGTATTGTAAAAGGCACTCCATAACATATAAAGACACTTGGAGAATGTCACCTAAAGGTAAACAGTAAAACACAGCATTAGATTTTCCTGCAGATTTCCTAAGAAAATAGTGTAGCAGAGACCTCTGTTTTTTCTTCTATACTGTCGTCACTTCTAATTGTGTTGTTCAGACTTCCTAGAAACGTATACAAGTTGACACCATGTCAGAAGGAGCAGAGATAATATCTTTATAGTATAAGATAAAGACTTTTTTCAACCAGTGGAATCAAATGCAAAAGAAATAAATGTTACAGTTCAGCTCAGTGTATTAGAAGAAATTAAATAGCAGTTGAAATACAAGATGTATATATATATTTAATTTTACATGGAAATAATCTCTATGTTCTGCACTTAATTGCAGAACTACTTTGTTCCTGTCAATACTTTTCATGTGCCTATAGGATTTAGATGATAGGCTGGTTAATTTAGTTGTTAGGAGCATGATGCTAATAAATCCAAGACACAAACTCAACCTGATTTTTTTATAATTCTGATAGTGTGAGACTATCCCCTAAAACTAAAGGACAGTGCATATATTTACTGCTATATTTATAATTCTTGGCACATTATAGGCATTAATTAATATTTTATTGACACTGTACAACAATCATCTGGTCAAAGGACTGAAAAAAAGGAGAAACAATCATACTCAAATCTCTGCTTCTGTAGTTGTAGAACCCTGGACAAGTCACATAAACTCTCTAATCTTCATTTCTTAATTTTAAAGTGGGGGCAAAAAAAATTCTCCTAGGTTGACTTGGTTGACCAAGTGAAATGATATAGCATTTAACACAAAGTTTAGAGCTGCAAATGAAATAATAATTGTTACCATATACTGAATGCATAGTTTGTACTATTAGCCATTTTCATACTGCTATAAAGACATACTCGAGACTGGGTGATTTACAAAGAAAAAGGGGTTTAATTGACTCACAGTTCCACATGGCTGGGGAGGCCTCATGAATCTCACAGTCATGGTGGCAGGGGAAGAGGCACATCTCAGTTGGTGGCACGTGAGAGAGATCAAGCAAGAGCAGGGGAAACCACCCCCCTAAACCATCAGGTCTGGTGAGAACTCACTATCATAAGAACAGCATGGAGGAAACTGTCCCCCTGATCTAATCACCTTTCTTGGCACATGGGGATTACAATTTGAGATGAGATCTGGGTGGGGACACAAAGAGCCAAACCTATCAACCATGCATGGTGCTAAGCATTTTGCAAGCACTGTTGAACCCCACAGCAACCCTGTTTATGGTAGATATTCTATTCAACTATGCCCTGTTGTAGATCAGGAAGCTGAAGGTTAGAGGGGTAATGGAAGTTGCTCAAGGTTACATGGTATGGTTCTTAAGATTTTTTTTTACTTGGAAGAACAGAGAAACCAACACAAACCCAACCAAGAAAATGTGTTCCCTCAAACTAACAGAAAAGCCCAGAAATATTCTGCTTCAGGCACAGTTTAATCCGGGGGATCATGATGTCATCAGAGCAAGGGCTCTTTTTCTTTTCAGTCTTTCGCAGATGTTCCCTGTTGATGTCAAGATGGCTGCTGGTGCTCCCAGGATTGCATGTTTTCACATCCAGCTGGATGAGTGACTGACTCACACCCCAACTATTGAAACAAAGCCTTTTACACTAACTGCACCCCTGAAGCAATCACCATGGCAGGGGATGGCATTATTTTGATTGGCTTGGACCTATCCAGATCCAACCCTGGAGCTGAGGATGGGTACGACTCAACACCACCCAAACAGAATGGCTACTCCATGGTGGGAGAGATGCAACCACAGGGCTTATGAAGTAAGTGACAGAACTGGAATTAAAACCTTATGTTTATCCTTTCAGCAGGCAAAGAAACAAGATGATTCCTTGATAAATTTTATCTAAAATGATATTTAACCTGAGAAAAAATGTAGTACAAATTTTATATTGGTATGATAGCAAATTTTCATTAGCCTATTTGCTTTACCATTTAAAAGTTTTTTTGTTTGTTTTGTCTTGTTTTGTACTGAATTACATCCTCAAAACCAATCTATGAGATTGGAAGGACAAATGGCATTATTTACTCATAGGGGAGGAAACCAAAACTTGGAGGAATTAGGCAAGTGATCCAAGTGTGTATTCAGGTAAATGGCTGAACTGGGATTGGAACTGAAGAATCCACTGATTTGTAATCCAGAGTTCTTTCTGCAATACTGCATTTGGAGACGGCGCTGTTACCTCCATTTACCTGGAAACTGAAGCTCAAAAATATGTTAATGTGTGCCCAGCACTACTCACCTTTCAATGGCAGAACTGGTTCAAACCCTCTCTCATTTTCTGACTCCAAAGTCCGTCCTCCTCCATGTACTGCCACTTTCGTGAACAAATCTCATATAGAAAGTGAGGATGAAAAATGTGCATTCCCTTCACCCTTCACTGGTGAACAGCAGGGCCAACACCTCTTTTCCCTTATAAGCACCCATTTTAATAGTCTATGACAGATGGTAAAAATATCCATTTTAAGCATATGTATACATGTGAAGGATAAAATTCTTGTTGATCACCTCATAACATGTTTTGATGAGAGCCTAGAGAATTCTTTAATCTGTAGTGAGATGAGATAAATCTCCCACTTCATTACGGGAAAGAAAACTCTATCAGTGTTCTACCCATCTACACTTTGCCCCTAACCTCCATCAGACAACTTAGGCTAGTGGCTCCCAGCTTCTGAATCATCCAGGCCTCCTTTTACATTACCTGGCTCTGCCTGCAAGGGGTTTAAGTTCTATCCTGAAGAGTTGGTGTGTCTAGACTCATGCCCAGGTGTTCTCACTGCACTGGCTGTTTAGGAGACTGTGGGGTGTGGGGCATAAGTCACAGCGCAGCTCTGTTTCCAGGATGTCTCTGATATAATCAAAAAACCAAGCAGGGCCTCTGATCATCCTGTGATCTCTGGTGTTACCAAAGTTTCAGCCAAAAGAAAAAAAAATTGTTGTTTTAATTAGTTTGAGCAGCTTAATTATGTGAGAGAAAATATAAAATTTTTAGTTAAGCTCTTTGAAATATTAAGCATAGCTGGCAGGCTCTCAGTACCATCTTAGTAGACCACAAGGGGCCTGGGACCTTATCCTGGGCAGCACTGGTCTAAAATAAGATTTGTTTTTTTTTCTTCCTTCAGAATATTAAAGTTAACATGTATTAATTTTGACCAGTATATTAAAGTTTAATCATACTTTTGTAGGTTAGAAATGGTGGATGGTTTACTTAAGAATTCTGTTCTTCTATATTTAAGGTTGTATTTCTGTAAGTAACTATTGCTTTTGCACAGAAATGTTGAGTTTAGTTTTTTCCAAATTATTCCTTTCTGATGTTACTGGAGCCTTGAAAGAATCAAGGGCAACATCACTAGTCTCATTTTTTTATTTGGGAAAATGGGATAGTAATATTTGCCCTACTCAATTCCCAGAATTATTATGGGTTTAAATACAGTAATGTGTATATGCTCTGCTGAACATCCCAAATGCCACACTGTTCTGATTCTTATTAACATACTCTAACATGTCTTCATCTGGGCTAGAAGATTATTAATTAAGAGAGGTCATTTCCAAACAGTTGGTTCTGATCTGTTACAACTCAGAATTGGAGATGATCTCTTCCTAGTTCAGTGTGAGAAGAAAGGAAACTTTTATTTGTGGCATATTTTGTTTTAGTCTGGGGTGTGTGTGTGTGTGTGTGTGTGTGTGTGTGTGTGTTTAACCTATTTCGGCCAGGTGCAGTGGCTCACGTCTGTAATCCCAGCACTTTCAGAGGCCGAGGTGGGCAGATCACTTGAGGTCAGGAGTTCAAGACCAGTCTGGGCAACATGGTGAAACCCTGTCTCTACTAAAAATACAAAATTTTATTACAGAGCTGGGTGGCAGGCACCTGTAATCCCAGTTACTGGGGAGGCTGAGGCAGGAGAATCGCTTGAACCCGGGAGGCAGATGTTACAGTGAGATGAGATCGTGTCACTGCACTCCAGCCTGGGCAACAGATCAAGACTCAGTCTCAATAATAATAATAATTAACCTAATTCTGTTAATCCATATGGCCCTTGTCTGGAGAGTGTTCCTGATTTCCATCAATTTCTACATTCTGATGTTTAAGTCTGGAGAAATAAGGCCAGCCTTTTCCTGGAATCACCAATCGATTCGCCAGATGATGTGCTGGGAAAATAGGAATCTTCACAGCGACCCTGTGAGGCATGTTTTATTCTCCTAATTTACAGAAAAGAAAATGGGGGTTCACAGGACTGTGTAACTCTATAGAGGTCACACAGTAGCCCAGGAATTTAGCTAGGTCTATGACACTCAGAGGCTTTCACTGTCTTTAATACACCTCCCCTCACACAAAAGAAATGGGAGCAATTGGCAGGACAATGTGGGAAACATTTATTTGGGACCCCTGCTTTGTTCAAGTGCCTAGAGCATTTCTCCTCCATAGTCCCTGAAACTTTCCATGATCTCCTCTCTAAATACCAGCTCCCTTTGCCATGAGCCATTCAGCTAACTAAAAGGTATTCATGAAAAAGGCCCAGCAGCCTAGTTGACCCAGTTGACCCTTGACAATGCAGGGGTTAGGGCACTTTTTGGACCCTAATAGCTACCCAAAGTCACATGGGCCACAAGCTTTGACTTCTGAGTGCATTACGAAGAACTAACTCCTCCTCTCAGGAGAACCATTAGGTTAAGTAATTGCATTTTTTGCCATTACTTTTAAATGGCAAAAAAAAAAAAAAAAGGCAATTACTTTTGCACCAACCTATAGTTTAGGAAACCACTGAGGATTCAAGGTCAGAAGATCTGAGTTCACATCCTGCCTTCCCTACCAGCTGTGGGATCCAGCAAGTCACTACGCCTCTTGAAAGCTCAGTTTATCCTTACCTGTATGTTGTGGCAACGGAAAGATCTCTGTTACTGCACTTACCCCATCATGCTGCAAACTGGCTATTGGCCTGGGAGCTCCTAGAGAGCAGGAGCTCTGGCATCCTCATCTTTTTTATCCACAGTCCCCAAGAATGCTTGATGCTTTATGGGTGATTCCTAGTCTCTGTATCTGGAATGACCCTAATAGCCTCCTTGAAGTAGAAGTTTGACTGGGAAATCAAAATCCAGACATGAAGTGATATTTACATGTATGTGACAGCTCGTTTGGGAGCAGACGTTTATTGAACAGCCAGAACAGATTGCAGAGTTAACACTCAACAGCTTCATCCAGAACACAGAAATCTGTCGGAGTTGAAATGTGAAGGAAACGCAGGCTGGGCAGACACACCAGTCTTGGGAGGCATGCTTGGCGGTGCTCAGACTTTCTCTGCAGAGTGCCCTCAGGTCAGACTGTTCTGGCAATGAGGTCTTTAGGGCTTGGTAAGATCAAGTCCCTAACAATAAGAGCAGTAACAAGAGCAATAATAATGGCCACCACTCATTATTGAGACCTCTTACAAACCAAGCTCTGAAAGCACTTGACATGCAGTAGCTCGCTTGACTCCTGCAACAATTCTGTGAGGCAGATAAAATTGTCCCACTTGATTTATGAATGAGGAAATCAAGCTCAGAGAGTGTGAGTGAGTTGACTCAGGCCTCCCAGGTAAGACTTACCTTGACCCTGCAAGCTCTTGGGTCTCAGATGAAATGCCATTTGGAGGCATTAAGTGTTGGGAGCTCTGGCTGGTTGGTTGGATTGTAAAGCATGACAATACAGTGCGGTGTGGGGAAATGTCATTTGATTTATTTTATTCCCCTGGGACTACTTCCTCTCTTAACATGACTAGCAAGGTACGGCATAATTGAAGGTGAACAGAAGTCCTAGATGGGAGAAGAGAAGATCAGAGGGACCCTGGTTACTTTTTATGAATGTTTATGATAATAGTAGGCAATAGTAATAGTTAGCATTTATGAAGCAGAAGGTGTTGGGGATGCTACTAAATACTTTTCATATATTATCCAATTTTGCACCTGACATAATGCTGTTGTTGCCCAGCTACATTAGTCTGTTCTTCCATTGCTATAAAGAAATACCTGAGACTAATTTCTAAAGAAAATAGATTTAATTGGCTCACAGTTCTGCAGGCTGTACAGGAAGCATGGTGGCATCAGCTTCTGGGAAGGCCTCAGGGAACTTATAATTATGGCAGAAGTGCAAAGAGGAGCAAGGCATCTCATGTGGTGGGAGCAGGAGGGGTGGGGAGGTGCTACACACTTTTAAAAGAACCAGATCTAGTGATAACTCACTCACTATCACAAGAACAGCACTGAGGGGATAGCGCTAAACTACTCATCAGAACCCGCCCCATGATACAATCACCTCCCACTGGCCCCACCTCCAAAAAAAGGATTGACGATTCCATACAATTCAACATGAGATTTGGATGGGGACACAGATCCAGTCTCACCAGCCAACAGCCACTGTTCCTCTTGCTTTTCATTTTGTTTAGGTGACGGTATGCCCTGCCTGCAAATATCTCAGTCAATTATCTAATGCTATTCACCTAAGCCAAGGCCAGGTCTAAGAACAGGTGTGTAGCTAGATATGATGAATAAGAAAGAAAGCAATGTCAAGTACTCCAAGAATGGCAAAAATTTTCCTCCCTGAGAAGAAAGAGGCCACAGAAGATTCTGTTTTAATTGTTTGTTTGCTTATTTGTTTTTACCTATGTCTTTTATCCCTGCCTTGCAAGTTCTGTTTCAAGATATGATGACCCAGGGAATCCCAGGGATACCAACCCAGAATCCCAGTGTCACTGGGTGCTGGGGCAGTGCTGGCATTGCCTGCCTCAAAACTTTTTGTGAAGTGAGATAGTAAATGTCTTTATTATTTATGCCACTATTAATTGGGTGTTTTGTTACTTGTTCCTAAAAGTATTCCTACTGATAAAATAGTATTGGTTCCATTTTATAATTGAGAAAACCAGGGCATAAAAAATTAAATCATTTTTCCTCTGTCACCTGGCTTGTAAGTGGGAAGGCCTAATAAGCTTGTGCTACTACGATTCTGCCTGGATCCAAGTCTACAGTCCAAGGAATTTCATTCCAGGGGTGATAGGTTGGCTCAATCAAGTAAGAAGGGCTCTTGACACTGGGCAACTGAGTAGGGAGCTGTCAGTCATAGGAGATGCTGAAGCAAAGAAAAGACAGCCATCCATGAAGGTCACTGGGAGGAGAACCAGGCTCTAAGTAGACAGGAGTCAGAAAGATGGACCATGTGCAAGATGCTAACGTGTTATAAATGTGTTCTGTAATAGAACCACATGGGCCCAAAGAATAGGCAAAAAAAGAAACTGCAGTCTTGGCTAACCAGGTTTCCAGTTTGGTGATGAGACAGTGCTTCAGACATCTGTGGTCCAGGAATGGGTTTGATAGTGCTGCTCCTGGACCATTGAGGGTGATGGCAAGGTGAAAGGTAAGAGTCAGGCCTGGATCTGCATGAAAGTCCCAACTCTGTCCAGGCAGGGTGGCTCATGCCTATAATTTCAGCACTTTGGGAGGCTGAGGTGGGAGGATCACTTGAGGTCAGGAGTTCAAGACCAGCCTGGGTAGCATGGCGAAACCCCGTCTCTACTAAAGATGAAAAAATTAGCTGGGTATGGTGCTGCACACCCATATTCCCACCTACTTGGGAGGCTGAGGCACAAGAATTGCTTGAACCTGGGAGGCAGAGGTTGCAGTGAGGTGAGATTATGCCATTGTACTCCAACCTGAGTGACAGTGAGACTCCGTCTCAAAAATAAATAAAATAGAAATAAAAATTAATAAATAATAAATAAAACGCAAGTCCCAGCTTTGCTATTTCTTAGCTGCCAACCTCACATTCCCTCTTTGTCAAATGGGAAGAATGGCTTCAGTGTACTTCCTAGGGCTGCTGTGAAGATTAAATGAGATGATTGTACACATCTACAAACGTTTATTGAAGACCCCTATATGCCTAGCCTTCTTTCAAATCCTGATGTCTGTGTAAGCTGAAAGTGTTTCACGAATTTCAAATATTAGTATTATTATTTATTTTTAAAAATTATCTAAGTCCTCTCTTCCTCCTACCCTACCAAGGAACTCCATTCCTCTATTTTGAAATAAATTGAGCTCTTACCCAGGAAAATAGAAGAAACGGCTCCAACAGACAGTTTCCAGCAAGACAAATCCCCAATGGCTTCTCCCTGCCACCGCTCAATAATGGTGTTTGCTATAAATCAGAGAGCTTCTTTATCAAGTGCCTTGGAAGCGCTTGGGACTGATTTAGCCCTAGAGTGAGATTAATCACAAATTGCTGCTTTAGACAGAGTGATGGGTGTGAATTAGAAGGTTCGTGGAGATCATTCTGATTCACCCCAATTGCTATAGATAGCTGGAATTTACAGAACTAAGGCCCTAAGTTTTTAAACATTTCTCAGTTTAAGAAAAATTACTACATCTAAGAGTAGATTTCTTTTCCCCTAATAATGTCACAGTGGGATGGGGAAGGAACTAATGTTTTCTTTTTAAAAGCACCTAACTGTGAGTGCCAGACTCTATGCTTATATCATGTTTTTAATCCCTATAATATCACCCTGAGATAGGTCTGGCTATCCTCATTTATCAGATAACAAAAGTGAGACCCACATCGGTGAAAAGACTTACACAATGTTATGCAATGCCCAGGTAGCTGAGATGAATAAAATGCATGTCTGTGTGATTCCAAAGCCTTAACAAGGAGCCTCTTGGATCATTGATGGCAGATCCCTGGAAGCAGAGCTCCACATAAATACAAAGAATAAATGAATCACATAACGCTTGCTGTAATTGCCGGCCAGCAATGATGCCTGAGACGGTCCCCTAGGACCCAGCTTTAATGATACTGTCCTGTGATGACCTTCTCTAATATCTCACCTTTTTTTCCATAAGATAGAGGATGCATGAATGAAAGAAGGTCCACCAGGAAGAATGTGTCTGCTTCCTCTCTGCTCATACGCAGTGTAACGGCCATGGAGGGGCATCACTCAGATCACTCCTCAAGAGAACCCTCTGTGGCGTGCATAACTGACAAATGCTCCAGTTGCCACACCTTCATATCCACAGTAACTGGGTATGTCGGGGGCACTAAAGCTGGGGCATTCCTTCTGCACATGAGATGGTGTCATGGATGACTATTGCATGAGGACTCCCTGTTGGCCTGGCCAAAACGTTCTTAGAACTGCACTGTAGTCACAGCTCTTCCTTCTTCCTTCTCCTTGCTTCCCACTTTCCTTTCTCATATGTCAGACCCACATCATGGTCTGAAGGCTCTTCCTGTCTCATCCTGATCACCTCCTTTGTCATGTACAAGAACTTCTCCAATACATCTCATGCACAGCTAATCCCATCTTGGTGTCTACTTCCTGAAGATCGCTAATGGAAAGACACAGTGATTCTGTTTCTCCAGCCCACATGTCTATCACCTGGAAAACAGATCAATTCTATGATATCATCATGCAACAGAATACTATAGAGCAGTGAAAATGAGTGAATCGGAGATAGAGGCATCAACATGGATACATCTGAAAAACAATGTTGAACAAAACAAAAGTGTTGCAGAGTGATACATACATACAGTATGTAACATTTATATAAAGTTTTAAAACTTGTCAAAGGATGTCATATGTAATTTGTAGATGAATACATAAAGCATAAAAACACACTAAGTGCCTGGGGCAGTGGCTCAGGCCTGTAGTCCTAGCACTTTGGGAGGCCAAAGTGGGCGGATCATGAGGTCAAGAGATCGAGATCATCCTGGCCAACATGGTGAAACCCCATCTCTACTAAAAATACAAAAATTAGCTGGGTGTGGTGTGCATGCCTGTAGTAATAGCTACTCAGGAGGCAGGAGAATTGCTTAAACCTGGGAGGCAGAGGTTGCAGTGAGCCGAGATCATGCCACTGCCTGGCAATAGAGTGAGACTCCATCTCAAAGAACAAAACACACACACACACACACACACACACACACACACACACACACACACAGGAAAGCTAAACCCAAATTCAGGAGAGAGGTTACCACAGAGGAGAAAAAGAAGAATGCAAAGGGGTTTTGTATTTTAAGCTGCGTGCTTGGTACACAGTTGTTCATTATGCCTGTGCTTTTTATATGCCTGAAATATTTCATAATAAAAAATTTAAACATATTAAGTCATACCCAACAAATTGTCTCTAGTGAAAAATGATAAAATAATTTGAAATTGGCTATGTTTTGGGAAATTTTGGATATATGTTGTCACATGCCATCAGTTGAGTCTTAGTCTACTGCGGCTTTTACTACACCAAGTAGCGAATATTTATTTTTATGTTTGTTTCTGTTCTCTTTCTCTCCCCAACCCTCACTGGACCATGAGCTCTAAGAAAGAAGACTCTCATCTCCTTATTTCTGAATCCCCAGTGGCTATGACAGTAGCAAGGGAGCAATATGTGTTTATTATGTTTTTAATAATCAGGAGAAGAGAAACCAGGGACTGGGGAGTGAGATGGCAGGTAGTACAGACCGCAAAACCTAAGTAACTATTTTTTCAATATAATCGAAAAAGCAGAGCTTCCGCTTTTGTTTGAGTGCTGCTACATATGGGCAATAGGGCTACAGTGGGGCAGCTGGGGGCCAGGCCAGACGGCCTGAGGTGTGTGAGGTCTTGTTACAGTGGCAGCCACTTTGTTACATGTTTCAGGCGAAGAGTTGGGCATTATCCTCACAACTTGGAGAGTTCGGCATTATCACTGCTTTTCGCAGATAAGGAAACTAAGGGTCAGCAAATTTGTATCTGCATCAAACAAGGCAAGCTGCGGACCTGCTGAGGCCACTCACTCAGGTATTCATATATTCATTCACTCAACAACACCTGCATTCCAGGCACTGCTACGCCAGGTACTGGGATACAGTGATGAATGGCTCAGACTGAGACCCACCCCAAGGAGCACCCCAGCTAGTGAGGGCTCAGATGCACAAGCACCGCTACCCTTACAGTCACAGACTGGTTCTGTGACAGGTGCTGGTCAACGGGGCTGTGGTGGCACAAGGAAGAAAAACATCACCAGTGCTGAATGTTAAGGCTTCCTGGAAGAATGACCTCCAGATGAAACCCAGGTGAAGGTAGGTGGAGGGAAGACAGGAGGGTGTTTGGCAGGGGAGGAGGATTATCCCTTTCATGAAAGAGCATCCTTTCTGAGACCTGATGAAAGAGCACAGTGTCAGGGCTTCCCGTGACAGCCAATAGTGCATTCTCTCAGAGTATCCCATTCATCTGCCTTCCAGGCTCCAAGTCCTTGTCTTCAGGGACCACCCCTGGGCCCCCACATTGCTTCCACACAGACCTACCCACCCCATCTGTATTAGTCCAGGTCCTCTGAGAAAGCAGAAACAAGACAGGATTAAACATGCAAGAAATCTGTTGGAGGAAATGCTTGTGGGAAAAAATGAAGAGGCCAGGGGAGGCTGGAAAAGCCACAAGTTCACAACGCAGGCCTGACTCCCTGTGAAGGAGCAAAGGAGGGGAGGGAGGGATGAGGGAAGCGTTTTTAGACAATCCTAAGGAAACTTTGACAAGGCTGGGAGTCCTGGAGCCATGGTTGCCCAAGAGAGGAGTCCCAAGTCTCCAGGAAGGGCCCTTCCTCAGCATCCCTGCCCTGCTCCTCCATTGGCTGGGGGTGGCCAGGGGTAGTCAGGATGCAGTTTGTGCTGGATTTTGGAAAGCAGTTGTGGGGACCACTGGGCAGTCATGCTCCCTGAAGCTTGGTATCTGAGAGGAATATTCTCCATGGCCAACATACTGCCCTAGGTTTGATATACCCCCAAATCTGGCTTCAGCTTCAGCCCCTCTTCCTGGATTCTGCCAAGAGAAACAGTCCTGAGCAAAGATGGCATTGGGCAGTGATGAAGGGCACAGCTTCACAGCAGCCCCCATTTCTGCCACTGACCATGGGTGCTGCAGGTAAGGCATTGAGCCCCCCCAGTTTCCTTGTGGGAAAGTGTGGATAATAACAGTTCCTGTCTCCTAAGGTTGTTACAGAAGTACTTGAATTAAAATGCATGGTAAGTGCCCAATAAATGATATCTATTATTATTTTAATGGATCCATTTTTGATTTAGGGACCATTTCAATGCATTGGTTTGATGGGGCTACATCAGAATGTGAAAGCCTTGCATTCCCACCACTGCTGTGTGCCAGATATACCTGCATCTCACTCTCCTGAATGCTTCACCATCTTTCCATGAAGCTGCTCCTGACCTTGAGGTTTGGTTTTGGGTCCTCCTCTGAACCTGTAGCTTCCTTTTCCCACAGAACTTTTTACAATGATTAGTTGCATGTTTTGTTGTTGTTTTCATTTCTTGAAATAAACTGAGAATTCCTGTTGGGGTGAGGACGATGTCCTATTTCCTGCCACATCATCAGTGCCTACATGTTGGCTGACTCCTGCCCTAGCCAGGCTCAAACCCAGGGCTTCTCTCTAGGGTCATGCAGGGTGCTTGTCTGAGAGGAGAGGAGGGCTGCAGTCCACCTTGTGGCAGGGGCCCAGTGGTGTGCTCAGGGGCTGTGCCTGCCTGAAGTTTCCATTCATACAGCATTGCTTAAAGCTTGTCATATGAGCCTCTGATAGACTGCATCTGTCCAGAGGAAGGGCCTTTTCTTATTTGAGAAAGATACTATATTGGTTAACAACAGCTCTGCCAATAAGCCAGGCCGAGAATGTGTGCAAAAGCACCAGCACGATGTCTCACACTGTGTCAGCTACTCCTGCAAACTTCTGGAAAGGCTTTGATGAGCATTTCTGAGTGTTTCTGCCTTAGCAATATGATGGGTTAGATTCAATCACAGTCTCATACTGTGGCTTGATCTCAGCTCACTGCAACCTCCACCTCCCGAGTTCAAGTGATTCTCCTGCCTCAGCCTCCCAAGTAGCTGGGACTACAGGCACCCACCACAACGCCTGGATAATTTTTGTATTTTTAGTAGAGACCAGGTTTCACCATATTGGTCAGGCTGGTCTCAAACTCCTGACCTTGTGATCTGCCCACCTTGGCCTCCCAAAGTGCTGGGATTACAGGCATGAGCCACCACGCCCAGCGTTAGATTCATGTTTCTAAGCTCCTCTCCTGCCCTGACATTCAGTGATTAGAGGAAGCCTGGTGTTCGAAAAGCGCTGAGGTGTGAGGATGAGGACTGCCCTAAATGGAGTTCAGAATGGTCGCATCCTCTCCTGGGCTATAGTTAGCCTTGCCCATCACCCTTGTCAGCTCTTGCCTCCTCCTCCAAGGAGCCTGCCTGAGCAAGCCCACATCCATTGTATTTGCTTTGTACTTTATATTTTATTAGGTGACTTTGATATGTTACTTCCTTTAATTCTCAAGCAACCTAGTGCTAGGTCTTGGTGTTATATTGGTGTTATATCTGATAGATGAGGGAAAAGGAACTCAGAGAAGTTAAGTAACATTCACAAGGCCACACAGCTAGTACAAGGGCCAAGTTCAGGCTTGAACACAAATCTAGGCAGAAGAATTCCTACCCACCTTATTTATGCTGCTTATAATGTTTCTCTGCATTGCATATTTCTGGCCCCATTTAGAATATGAAAACCTCAAGGACAAGGGACATGATTCTGCTTCATTCCATTCTCTCCTGAACGCATCATGCACATGGTAAGCGCTGTCTAAATGCTGTCTGAGTAACAGTGGAAATCCTTGAGATGCAATCGCGTCATATGTCAAGCCCTGGTAAGGACCTGTACAAACACAGACCTCAGCGTATGCATGACAATACACACATTGATGTCTTCCATGCATACACATGGTGCAGCTGGTATGATACCTTTAAGAAAACATCTCTAATTAAACAACAAAAATGTTATTCTGCCTGTGCCTGCTTAGCAACTGTGGTTTGGTGGCCAGAGCATTTGCTTCCACATTTCTGCAGTGTGCTCTTCCCTGCTGGTCAACTCTCCTCCTCACAGCCCAGGCTCTGCACCTCCTGTCATTTAGTATCTGGTCTTCCTTGACCCCTCTGGCTGGATGCAGGATCCATTTGCTTGGACCTGTGAGCTCAGCTTCCCTCATGCAAACCTTCCCGTCTCTTCCTAGCTTTGGGTCATTCACCCACAGTCTTGGAGACCCAGCTCCACAGATGGTCCCAGTGGACAGCCCCACAGCTTGTCTCAGATTCTCAGGCTCTACTGAAACACATCGCAAGGATGTGTACAGACTCATATACCTGTGAAGCCAGGGACTTATACACATGGGTCCACGTGGCCATCCAGGTATGTACATATCCACCAGACCAAGTGCAGAGACACAGTTGAACATTTTTGCCCATGGAGGCAGAACCAGTGTCCACATGCAAACCCATTTATGCATGCAGGAATGTGCCCAGGTCATAGATACATGTACACACATACTCAAGTATGCATACAACCTTATGCATATAAGACTCAGTATGTGAGTGTACATCCCCTTAGAATATGGATACCAGTGTAGGCAAACACCATATGCCTTGAACATGAAGATTTACACACAGCCATGCAAGGGCCAAAAAGGCATCCTTAGCCTCCTTCTCCCCAGGGTGCCACACTCAAACAGATTTCATCACAGATCACGGCCTTTCAAAGACACAGGTTCACACCTTCTCCTTGGAGCCAGCTCTTCCTTTGTCAAGTTGTCTGGCCCTAGGAAGGTGATGGAGCTTATATCTGGGAGTCCCCAGGCACTCATATGACGACCTGTCACCTCTCCACTCAGCTACTCCTCTCACCAGGAACTCTCTGCTCTCAGTGGGGAAGGCACTAAGGCTCAAGGTAATTAAATCTCTCTCTTTTCGCTTCGGCAACATTGATCTGTTCAGGGCCACACTCTGACTCCGAAGGAACAAAGCTTTCAATTTCTTGGCTGGAATACACTGTTCTTAGACTTGTTTCATATGTGAGACAGGAGTGAAAATTAGAGCATACATTCTCATCTTCAGAGCATGATGTTGCTTATGAGGCACTTTTTCACCATTTCATTTGAGTCTTACAATCATCCTATGGGGTAGATCGTACATAAACTGCCCCCATTTTACAGACAAGGAAATTGAGGTTACAACAACAAGGGCAACAGTTGTCTCTGACTTCCTGTGATGTGTCAGGCACTGTTTTAAGGCCGTACATGTTTCAGTTTTTTCAGTCCTTACGATAACACTCAGAGGTATGTCTGTCTTCACCCCTACTTTACAGAGGAGGAAACTGAAGCACATAAGGTCATATTAACAGCCTGAGATTTTCCACTTAGGAAGCAGTCTAGCTAAGCCATATGCTGTTGAAGTTAAAGGGATTTAATGCGGGATATTTGTCTTCTGGGTGAAAATCTAAAGCAGTGGCTCCCCGTATTCCGACTACCGATGACCACATATCTGATTTTCTTACATCATTAACTCCACCCTTGAAAGATTTCCTCCAATACAAACACTGTATTCATTAAGAAATAACCTGTATTGTGCCATTTTAATGAGACTTTTGAAGTTTTAAGAATAGCTTGGGGGTACCCTGAACCTCTAAAAATTGCTACTGGTTGAGATGCCTTGGGATTGAGGGTATCCAGACTGACACCTGGAATACAGAAAAGAATTTAGTTAAGGTACCTTCTCAGATCAACCCTGGTGCCAATCCTGGCTCTACCAATTATCCCCTGGGTCCTTGGTAAGCAACATCACCCCTCTCAGCCTCAGTTTGTTTGCCTGCAATGTCAGAAGGAAATAATAGCACCCAGACTGTAATGTTCAAGGGATAGCAGCATGATTCTGGCTGTCCCACAATTCCTTGGAGTGAGGAGAGAAATATTTGTAATTGTCAGAAACATGATACAACTGGCAGAAGTATATGAAATCAGTTACATAGATTGTGAACTACATGTCAAAGTTCTATTTGTCCTGAGACAGGGTGAAAATCAGTGCATTTCTCATCAGGATAGAAAATATAAACAGAAAAAAATCAGAGCCTCTGGGAATAATTCAGCCACAGAGAGAGTTCACTCTTTGGGGTGCTCACAGAACTACCATTGTTCATCTCCACACTTGCTGGCTTTGCATCCTTTGAGGTGTACCTTTCTGACCCTTTTTTAGCTGCTTAGTAGGTTAGTTGGGGTTGACTGTGGTTTTGTCCTTGGCTATTGTGATTATGTGAAAACAGCTTCAGACATATTTTTTTCTTGCTTTCTCCTGGGCCATTCCTGAGTTGCGCTGGCCCTCCAAAGCCTTCATCCCTTCTGTGTCTCCATCTTTGCTTTCTCCCTTCTAACTACCCTTTCCTTTTCCTTCCTTTTAATACCTTCAAAAGAATGAGAGCAAGTTTCAATCACATTAAAAGGAAAAACTAGACTCTAAGGCAGTGGTCTTCACTCGTTTTTGGTCATATTCCTCTACTGGCTGTAAAGAGTTTGAGCTTCTACTACCAATGTATCTATATGTCGTTATTAACACAGTACATAGTTAACTTCTGTACTAATATTTTATTTCTAAAGCATACATAAGTGGACATTTTTAAGATGGAGATTTTTTAAAGCATGAGATAAAAATAGTAATTTAAAATTATTAATGAAAGAAAAATGCTTGCTCATACTAAAATATTATGTTTTTGAAAACCTGCATTCCACACTTTCTGAAACAATTATTTGAAAATCTAGTCCCGAGTTCAATGCATACCAAAGGCTGAGTTTAGTTATTGTCTTAGCTGTAAGAAACTAGTTTATTCACAGAAAACGAGTTTCATCACAGAAAGGGTGAGGAAACTGTGAACCGATGTCTTTTTGAAAGACAATTACCTTTTTTATCTTTATGTTGAGATAACTCTTTTAAGTACCCAGTCAGCTGGGATAACCAGTGAACCTCCATCTGGTACAGAAGGTTTTCATGATTTCTTCTCAGTTCTAGTATTTTAAATAATATAATCTGTAACTCTACTTAACTGGGCACAAGTCAACCCTAATCAACCATAAAATGTTGAAAGCCAAACATGGAGTGAGATTGTCCTGAGTGACTCATCTGCACTATGGGGCACTTACACTTTCTCCAGGATCTCTCACTAACAGTAGGTGAAAAATACTGAGCATTAATTTTCATCTGTAAATTGCATCTTGGTAAACCTTCATAGTCTTTAAATTTAAATATCTAAATTGGAAGGCCAATACATTTTCGCCTGTATCTTCCATGAATCATTATACACACTGTCTGGGTAGGTCAACAGAGTTTGGAGCTGGAGAACAATGAGATTCAGGACTACAGACAGCTACACACATGCGTGGGAGGGGACCCCCTTTCTAATAATCTGGCTGTGACACCTATCTGATAAAATAGTCATGAGAAATAAATAAAATGGCACAGTAAGTGTTCAATAACTATTCCTTTCTTCCTCTCCTTCTCACTATTCAACCTGATGCCAAGTGAAGGAAAGGAAACAGGAATTCAGGACCAGATATTCTGGCCAGAAGTAAAAAAGAATGTAATTTTGGAAATGTTTCTCAGTAGCTGTGTTTCTGGTGCTCACCTCTCCAAACACAACACCCCAATTAGAAGAAAGGTTGTGTGGGTACTGAGTGTCATATCCTGTTAAAATACCGATCATGCACCCTCCTTCCCTGCCCAGTCCCATATGTATGCATCTCTACCACAGATATGTCCTACTGGTGCAAATTTCCTCATCTGATAGGGTTGGGCATCTTAATACCCTCTGGATCTGACCCAGAGCTCCTGGATAGTAAAATGGTATATATATGCCTAGACTTTGTGCTTCATCTCTGGTGGATTCATCCATGCTCTCTGTTCAAAGGGAGCTCTGGGTACTTTTCCCAGTTCATATTTGTGGTAGTTTTAACATATGTTCACAAATTCTTTGATATACTTCCGTTCAAGATGTGGAGTGTAAATTCTCTCTTAGACTAGGTTGAACTGGACTTTGTGACTTGGTTCTTTTTCTGATTTTGAGACACAGTCACACTCTGCCACCAAGGCCGTAGTGCAGCGGCATGATCTCAGCTCACTGCCACCTCCACCTCCTGGGTTCAAGCAATTCTCCTGCCTTAGCCTCTTGAATAGCTGAGATTACAGGCATATGCCACCATGCCCGGCTTATTTTTGTAGTCTTAGTAGAGAAGGGGTCTCGCCATTTTGACCAGACTGGTCTCGAACTCCTGAGCTCAAGTGATCCACCTGCCTTGGCCTCACAAAGTGCTGGGATTAGAGGCATGAACCACTGTACCCAGCCTGCAAACCATATTCTTTTAACCACTTTGTTATCTGTAGCTTTGATCCTGGTACCTTTCAGTTGCTTACAGATTTTGGAGTAGAACAAACCTGGGTTCAAATCCTGGCTCTAAATTGACCAGCTGATCACTGTTTACTTCCCTCTAAAACAGGGAAAACAACACCCATCTCAAAAGGATCTATGAGGGGTAGAGGCAAGAATATACAGAAAGTGTCTGCCTGTCCCACTAGACCATTGCTGTCTGATAGAACATTCTGTGACAATGGAACTGTTTCCTATCTATCCAATATGGCAGCCACTAGCCACATGTGGCTAATTGAGCACTTGAAATGTGGCTAGTACAAATGAGAAACTGAATTTTTAATTATATGTAATTTAGACCAATTTGCATTTACGAAGCCACCTGAATCTTGTGACCACTGTATTGGGTAGCACTAGACCCTATGCTCTAGGAAGACAGGAGCCATGCCTGTTTGGATCACATGGCATATTCAGCACTTAGTACAGTTCTTGACACAAATGAGTTACTTGTAATCAATTGTTGAATGAATTAATGTATGAATGAGTGAATGGTCCATCATGGGCTTTCAATGAATAGCATGTATCAGCCAGGCAGAGCACTGATGTGTAGCGGACTCTTCTTGCCTTTTCTCCCCACCATTCCCCGTCAACAACAGCCAATTATGTTCTCCTGCAGAAATGTCATGTGAGCACCAGGAATTGGACAGAGACTAAACTTCAGGTGACTGGGGAGACAGAGGGAAATAAAAGAAGACCCCTACATCTTTAATGGGCCACATAGGACAGGATGACCCCACTCCCACTCCAAGACTGACTAGGAAGTTTGTCTGTAACAGAGACGGTTGAATAAACGATGAGACTCCATGACAGCAAGGCCAGAGCAGCCCTAAATGTCACCTTCGTTATTTTTCAAGCCAACACGATGAACTGCCTTCCCCATTGGCTTCCATGTTGTTATTGCTCTGCCTCAGGGTTGAGGGATTTTTTTTCCCTAATCTCTACAACATGTACTATGTAAGTTCGGCAAGGGCAGGAGGTGAGATGGCACAGGCCACTTAATAAAGGGTTTGGCTGTCACGGAGATGCAGCCATTGGGCAGACATGAGGAGGTGGCCAGCTGGGACTCCTCTGCTTAGTACCTACCTGAAATATGGTGCCTATCTTTCCAGACTTGGGAGTGAGAGAGCAGTGTCTGACTCTCAGATGGTTTTCCTCACTACTTCTTGGATCAATATTCTAGTCTAAAACAGAATGTGACCTGGCTGGGAAGAATGAATTCTGGGCCGAGGGCCAGGAGAGGCAAGTTGGAGTCTGGACTCTGACATTACTGATATGGGTGACCTGTGACAATTCACTTCCAATCCTAGGACCTCGAGTTTCTACTGTGCAAAATGAGAGGAGATGGAGCAGGGCAACCTTTAAGACCCCTTTAAGCTGTAAGCTTGCAGTGGAAGAAAGGATGGATTTTGTCATCATATAGCCTAATGTTGAAACCCTGGCTCTGCTCCTTCTGAGATGATTCTTAGCCTCTCTGAGATAATAATAATAATAGAACCTTAAAGGTTAAATGAGAATTAAATGTACGAATTAAATGAGATATTGAATTCCAGGGGTCTCAACCCTGTATGCATATTAAAATCACCTGGAATGTTTTTCAAAAATACCAATGCCCATAACTTCACCTCCAGAGATATTAATTGTCTAAAGTAATATCCGAGTGCTAGCATTTTAACAGTGAGCTCCTCAGTTATTTCTGAGCCATACTTAAGGCCTAATTTGAGGTGGTAGAGCTTATATGTAGCTGGAGTTTCGTAAGTATTTGGTGACTCAGTGGATATTCTAAAAATCATTTGTGTCATCAACTTTTTGCAAACCTTGCTCTCTGGCCCTTAGTTAAATATGCCAAAACCCAGCTACAGGCTTGCCAAATACAAACCCCCACTGATCCTTTCTTCCTTCTTCCCTGCTCCCTCAGCCTTCCCCAGTCCTCACACTCCTCCATTGCCACATCCCTCCTGTTCATGCCTCCTTCCACTCCCACCCTTGCCTGCTCTGCTTTGGACCATAGTTATTGCACTTCTGAGTTATTTCCTTAGAAAGAACCTATTTCATCACCTTCCTACTTCTAGTATTCAACTGGCACACCCCCTTCTCAGACAAATCAGTAAAACGTAGTGATGATGAGAGTAGAGTCTGTAGCCAGACAATCCGGATTCTAATCCCACACTGAGCTGTGTGACCTGGGATGATTTTCATGACCTCTCTGTACTTCAGTTCCCTCTTATGTGTATGGGAATCCCCCATCATCCCAGTCTTTGAAATCAGTTATTCTCCCCCACTTGACCCTCCTTTACAGTGTTACCGTGAATTCAGGGAAGAAAAAAAAATTGAGATTTCAAGTACTGAGCATAGTACTGAATGCTTTCCATACCTTATGTAATTTCATCTCCACAAAACTAAGCAAGGTAGATGTCTGTTTTATAGATGATGCAAGTGAGGCACAGACAAGTGAGGTAGTCTGCCCACTCTCAGATGGTGAGTGGAGGTAGAGCTAGGGTCCTGCCCTGGGCTGACTCAGAGCCCCGCTGCATGTGTGCCCCTGACTGATGAAGACTATTCCTTTGGGGACATTTTTCTGCTCTGATTAACCTCACAGCTCTGGGAGTGATGCTTATAGATGGGGAGGAAGGAGAGAAGGAGACACCCACCCACAGAATCATAATCAACCATCCAATGGGTGACAGATATCCAATGAGAGGATATATTTGTGCCTTTTTGTTTTTAAAGGAAAGGCAGTAGGAGGGAATAGTGCACTGAAGTAACCAGCCTAAGATTTGCCAACAAATTTGTGAAGAATTAAATGGAGTAACATTCATTCGTTTGTGTATCCCTTTGTAGTGATAGAAAAGAAAAACAGTCAATTCCCAATGAACTCTGAAGTTCATTGAGCATAATTCAGTAGGTGTTTACTAAATCGCACCTCCCCACCCCTCTGCCTTCCTCCTGACCACTTCATTTCTAGTTGTGCCAAGTTCCACTGGCCAGTGCCTGCATGTCTCTGCTGAGGACTATCTCTGACTGCAGCAGCATGCTATGCCTGTCCCAGTGGTGGGCCTGCAATCTAGGGTATTAAGGCCACCCAGAAGCACATTTCCCGGATGGCTGACAGGTGTTGGTGAGTAACCACACCAGCTCCCTCGCCCTGTGGAGGGAAGACTCTGCAGTGTGTATCCTGCACTCCCAGGGCCTTCTCAGTGGGGTTAAGCTCCAGTTGCCCACAAGTCGTAGCTGGGTTTTAAATGCATCAGCCCTTGGCTGCCTTTCCTTCCCCCTCCCATGCTCCTGTTCCCCTGTGGGTGTTTCCCGAGTTCCTTTCCCAGTTGAACTACTTGCCCTTGCTCAGAGTAGCTTCTGGAAGAACTCAAATGTAAACACTTCCTCAGAACTGTGCAAGGTGGTAGGAAAGCAGATGGAAAAGATATTCTCCTTAAAGAGCTCATGAGCTGGAGAGAAAATGCATGAATGCAGTTTTGGATGGTACAAGTCACCGCTAAGTGACCTGGAGACAGCACAAGGGCAGGTCAGGCTAAATCTGCTCTTCGGGTGGTAGGAGAAGGCAGGGATTTCAGTTTTACAGAAAAAATAAATATTCAAAGGTAGGCAGAGTGTGTGACCACATATTTTCTTTCCTGAGAAAGGAGAAAAGCACTTTGCTATCACAAACTGGGTCTGGAGAATTGTTTTGTCTGGGAGCAGGTGGAACTGATGAAATCTCAGAGAGGCCAGAGCAGAGTGGACAAGGCAGCCGCCTCTCAATCAAGCCCTGGGTGAGGAGGGAGGGTCCCCAGGTCGTGGGGAGCAGGGGGAGGCTGACGCTACTTAGAAAGCAAGGAAGTATGGCCCTCGGATGGGTGTTCCTTTCCTTGCCTCCTTGAGTGCCCTTCACAGACACACCCCTGTACCCGCCCCTAGCCTGCCCTGACATCTGTCTGCAAAGCTGTTCTGTGTTGCTGACTGTCTCTTGCTCAAGGTGAATTCTGAGTTTGGGTCAACGACTCCTGCAAGCCTCTGGCTCTAGCAGGCCTCCTGACCTCACCCACCCAGGGCCTCCTCTTGCTCTGGCCCATCTGAATGGGTCTGAAGCTGAGGCTTCTTTGGCTGCCCCCAAACTGCAGTTGCCCCTGCAGCTGGATGTGTGGTCTTGATTTTGTACCCCAGGGAGAACTGTGTGTTTATAGCCTGCCATTTCTGTGAGTTAATTCCAGAGGCAATTACTGTATTGTCTGCCCTTGCCACAGCCCCTCAATGGAGCAGCTCATAGACCATTTGATCCCGTTCTTTATCCAATTGCTAATTGGGCCAGAGGTGAATACCTAATCCAAGCCCAGAAGTGTGTGTCATATTTAAAAAGTTGGGCTGAGCCAATTGATTTTTCTCTCCAAGCTTTGGAATTGGAAACTGAAAGAGACTGCTGCTAGTGTGTAGCACGAAGGTTATGTAGACCTGGAGTTGGAGGACTTGGGGGTCTTGTACAAGCTGATGTGCAAGCAGGAGAAAGCAGGTGTGAGAGAGAGCAGGGGGCGTGGAGCAGACCCACGGGGAAAAGGAGAGGCCGGGCAGGCCTGGGAGCCAGAGGCCAGTTCTCCAATTCCTGAGGCCTGGCTCTCCTCAGTTTTCTGTCACAGGTTCTGTGAGATCTCTGTGAAGCCCTACAATAAATGCCTCCTATTGAAGCTAGCTCAAGGTGGTGGAGGTTCTTCTCCATACAGCCAAGAATCTTGGTGGAAACAGAACCCAAGGTAGCTGCAGCCCTTGGAGAGCACCCGAGCATAGTGAGCAGTGTGTCTGCAGAGGCAAGGATGGCATCGCCAGCACACCAGGGAGGCTGACTCCAGAGGGGCTTGTTTCACAAAGCCTTTGCAGCACCCCTTGGGTCACGGGCCACCAGGCACAGCGAGATTCAAAAAGAGAGGGATGTCAGGGGCAGAATTCCAGTAATTAGTTGAGATTGCTATAGATAGATAGGCTGATAGGAGTGAGGGAGATCCTTTCAGGTTGGGACAGTATGAGGAAATTCCTACTCACAAGTAGGAATACAGTCATTCACCATTGTTAGTGCTGTTCTCAATTATAATTATTATATGAGCTTACATGCAGTCAAGCCGACTTCCTCTCCCTGGGAAAACATGTATAGATTAGTGACACTACCATCACTTGCAGGGCACAGAGGAGCCTGTCAGCCCCAAAACTCCCTGTGCCCCTTTGCTTTGTAATCCCACTCCCCCACCTCTGGTGCCTGGTGATTACTGACTGTCCTCTCTCACTGTGTTTTACCTTTTCCAGAAGGTTGCATAAATGGAGTCATGCACTGTGTCATCTTCTGAGATGGTCTTTTCACTCAGTGTGATGCCTTTGAGATTCATCCATATTGTTTATTGTTGTTGTTATTGCTAAATAGTATCCCTTTGTATGGATAAACTGCAATCTGTTTATCCACTCAACATTGTTTCCAGTGTTTGGTAATTAGGAAAAGAGAAGTTATACTTTTTATGTACGGGATTTTGTGTGAACATACTTTTTCATTTTCTCACATTGAATACCTAGGAACCGGACTGCTGAGTTATACGGTGAGTGTCGGTTTAGCTTTGTATGAAACTGCAGGCTTTTTGTAGAGTGGCTACATGATTTCACATCTCCACCAGCAGTGAATGAAAGTTCCAGCTGACCCACATCATCAGGAACACTTGACTTTGTCTACTTTTTTCTTAGCCATTTTGATAGGGTTACAGTGGTATCTCTATCTCATTGTGGTTTAAATTTGCATTTTCCTAGAAGCTGATAATGTCATCTTTTTATGTGCATATTTGCCATATGAATAATTTCTTTGGTGATGTGTCTCATTTTTTTTTGCCCTTTAAGAAAAATGGATGCTTTGCTTCATACTGTTGAGATTTGAGCTTCTGTATATTTTTCTGAATGTAAGTCTTGTGTTGAGTATGTGAGTTGCAAGTATTTTCTTCCAGTCTTGTCTTTTGTTTTCTGTTGCTCCATTTATTGTTCACTGTCTCTCCCTCTGTTTATCCTTGGTAATTTTTTCTATCCTGATGTTTACTAAAGCCTCTCTAGCTTTCTTATGATCGGTATTTGTATAGTATGTCTCTTCTTATTCTTTATCTTTTAAAATATACTTTTTATTTTGGAATAATTTTGTGTATTCAGAGAGCTCTCCTATATCCTTCACCCATTTCCCTCTGATGTTAACATCTTACATTATTATGATATGTTTGTCAAAACTAAGAAATTAACACTGGCACAATACTATGAACCAATACAGACTTTAATTTGGATACACCAATTTCTTCACTAAAGATTTTTTTTGTCCTCTAGGATCCAATTCAGGATTTCTTATTACATGTAGTTATCATGTGTCAGGGATGGGCTCATTGGCCCACACCTGTAACCCCAGCACACTGGTGGACTAAGGTGGGAGGATCACTTGAGCCCAGGAGGTCACGATCAGCCTGGGCAAGCAGTGAGACACTGATTCTACGAAAAATAAAAATAAAAAAATTAGCTGGGTGTGTGGCACATGCCTGCAGTCCCCACTACTTTGGAGGCTAATGTGGGAGGATTGCTTGAGTCTAGGAGGCTGAAGCTGCAGTGAGTCGTGATTGTGCCATGGCATTCCACCCTGAGTGACAGAGCAAAATCACATCCCTAAAAAAGTAAATAAATGAAAATTTTAAAAATTAGAAAGTTGTTATCTCCTCTGATTTCTAACACTTTCTCTGGCTTTCCTTGTTTTTCCTGACTTCGGCAATTTTGGTGAGTACTGGTCAGGTATTTTGTAAAATCTCCCTCAATCTGGGTTGTCTGACACTTTCTTATGATAGACTAGGGTTGCACAGGTAAAGTGCCCTCCTCATTGTATCATCTCAGGGGATACTGGATACCAACATAACTGCTGACATTAACCTTGATCACTTGGTTACAGACTTGTCTGCCACATTTCTCTTCTGTTAAGTTACTGTTTTATGTTTCCGTTCTGTATTCTGTTTTTTGGAAGTGAGTCACTAAATCCAGCCCACACTTGGGGGTGGGGGAAGGAAATTGAGCTCCACCTCCCAGAGTGGGAAGCCACTCCTCCTACCAGGATTAGAAGACTTTTCCTAGAGCTTCTATTTTCACCCAGTGCATGGTTCTAGATTTCAGGCCACCTTTGAGTCAAGGGCGCAATGGGGGAATCCTGGAGGAAAAATCAACAGGAAACTCACCAACAGTCTGCTGTTACATGTTGCCTTTGCAGATTCACCCACTATCATTTGCTTTTTCGCTGCTCTATGATTTCTTTGCAGGGTTTTCAGTTGCTTTTAGTAGGAGCAATACAGAGTGGAGGGTGCATATACCATCTTGATTGGAACCAGAAACTCTTCATTTATTTTTTATTCTCCAATTACATCACTTACTCCCATTCGCTCATTCACATAGCCCTCATCCTTGTATGCATTGTTATATATTTGCTCATAAAATCATATATATGTCAATCAATACCCCTAATTTGACCACTTAATCAGGTGTTATGCTAGTCACTGCAGATACAGACATGAAATATAGTTCCTATCTCAAAAAAAATTTTGGACTAGAAGGAAAACAGATGAATTATTAGATATAAATACAGTGGAATGGCTGCTACGCTATAAGGACCAACTACCTTAAATGAGGAGATCTGTAAGAAAACAGCCTGGCTTCAGAAGTTGTTCCTTTTGGGGACAATTCTATGTGGGGTAGGCAAACATTTCACTTTGGGAGGACAGCATGCACTGAGGCACTGGATCAGGACATCAAGGGGGCATGTTTGAAGAAGTGGTGTCTTACCACCAACCTAGGCATTCCTGAGATTTCAGGACAGGGGTGTGACTGAAAACAACCCTAGAGTAGAGCACAAGGACTCCTCCAAGGCCATCCTGAGTTTAGAAAATTTACATTTGGTGGTTGGTCTCTCCTATCCTATTCTCACCCATCATGGGAGGTTCCATCTACTTGGTTTTCTATTATTTGCAATAGTGTAGGCTTTGTTTCTAAGACTCTGGCCAGTTTTTCAGAGGAGATGCACAGCATCTATAAAGGGTAGAAAGGCAGCAGAGCCTGACTTTGCAGCTGCATCCAAAAAAGGGTGTGGGTAACCTGGCTACCACCCATGTTCAAGTCCAAGAGGACCCAAGTCCTGAGATAGACCAGCTATCCCCATCTGTCTCTTTTCTACTCGATTCCAACCCCTGGGGGGCTAAGATTCATTCCCATGATATGTGCAGGTCCTGCAGTCTCTCTGGTCCTTCCTGTATGCTTGGCCAATTCATTCATTCATGCACTCATGGATGTATCCAAATGTATTCCACTCGTCTTCTATGCCAGACCTTAGTTTGATCATCCCTTTCCTATGAAAATTTTGTTTTGTCTTCTATGCCATTTCCATTTTCTTCTACCTCTATAACCATTGCTTCCTCTTTCTTTTGGTAGATTCTATTTCTTTCTCTACTCTAGAAACATGGATGGATCACCTTTGAACTGTTCTCATAATCTGCAGTATTCCCACATTCTTTACCCTGCTGTCCTCATCGCTGAGGCAGCTGTGCAGTCCAGTGCTGAGATAGGGAAGGAATGCAGGAGTGTTACTCAGTCACTTAGTCTGCCTGCCTGATCCTCTATTCTAGTAGCTGGGATTTCCCCCTTATTTCCAAGACATCAATGGGATCCCTAGTTATAGTCATTTCTTGTGCTTGTGCTCCCTGTCCCAAAATTTCTCCCTTGAAAATGTGTTGGGCCCTTGCTGCTCCTAGCCTTTTGTTTCCTCATATAATTGGAGCTCCTTCATTTGCAAACTCAACACCAGGGCCAGCCCCACCTCTTGGAGCACAGATCTGGTTCAGCCCTCATTGCATGCTTCAGTTTAAAGAGAAAAGCATGAACTTGGGGTCAGATTCATCTGTGCTGCAATCCAAAATTGTGTGGGGCAAGTTGTGCAACTCTTTGATCTCAGTTTTCTCATTGTAAAATTCATCACGGGCAAAAATTCTGTCATCAACCTTGTTAACAAAACCCTATTTTTATATAGATATCAAGTAATCACAAACTTGATATTGGGAGGAGGTTGAAGCCCCCAGTGGGTTGATCTTGATCCAAGCCAATCATGGTAATTCCTTTCCTTTGCCAACAACTGCTTTAGGAATGTGCATGTGTTGAAATTCTGGCCAATGAGGCATGAGCCGTATGTTTGCTGGGAGACATAGGGAAAATATTTCTGCAAAAGAAAAAGGAGCCTCAGGGGAAGAAACACATACTTTTCTGCTCCAGAATGTTGTTATCTTATGTGATGCCCAGAGCTGTAGTAGCCATTGCATGAGGCTGCCTGTGGCAGACCAAAAGGACGTGCCATAGCCCCAGGGGAGTGGCAGGGAAGAATAATGAGAAAACCTAGGTCTGGATAACATTGTTAAGTCCCTTACCCCTGAAACTCTGCCTCCTCCAGTCTTCTTATTGCACAAGACCTTTTTTGTTTGTTTTTAAGTCATTTTCAGTTGAGTTAATGCTACTCACAGCCCAAACAATGTTCAAATAAGAGACTTTCTGCTCATCTTTTAGGTTTCAGTCCAAATGTCATCTCCTCAAGAAAGTCTTCCCTGATTGTCCATCCGAAGTCATATTGTTCTGTCATACATTTGCCATCAACACTAGGTATCTTTCCTTCTTTTCTTTCATAGCACTTATGAGCATTTGTTTATTTGGTTATTCACACTCTCTCTCACTAATCTACAATCGCTGGGGAGGCTGGCAGTGTTTTATTTTTTATTTTGTTTATTTATTTATTGCTGACCACTGTGTCTCTTGTGGCTAGAATAGCGCCCAACATATAATAGATTCATAATATTTGTTAAATAAAAAAATGAAAATGAATACATGAATATCAGTAGAAGAAAACCTGGTACAAAGCAGGAAAGTTTGTCTTTGTGTCCTTTCTGAGACTGAAAGTTGATCAGCTCTTTCCTTTTTTTATCTTGACAAATGACTTTGTACCCAATCATTGGCTGATATATTTCAAAACAACTTTAAATTTACTTTGAAATGCACCATTATTTCATCCCCTCAGGAGCCGGTGCTATTCCCGCCACCCCTTGCTACTATTCTTTTAGCATTCAGGACAGCCAAGCAAACCCCTTCTTTGATTTTTCTTCCTCTGCAGGCTCTAGGTGACTGATTAGTCATTACTTGTGAATAATGGCCAGGGAGGTTGCTGAGCCATGGAGGAATCTGGCCACCTCGCCACTGAGCACTCAGCTCTCAGCTAGTAAGATAACAGCAATTTTGCCACCAACACCATCCTAATAGGATGTCCAAAGAGTTTCCTTCCACTGTTCAGTAGGGATCATGGGGATCATGAACGGAAGGTGATATGAGGTTTTAGGGAAGAATAAACTGGAACAGCTTGTCATCCCTCAGGAATATTTTGAAAACAAGTCAGCACACGATGGTAATTTATTTTTATGATGCATTAGTTTGCCTTGGAGGGAGAAATTATGGGAGTTTGGAGAGTTAGAGCTTACAGGGAGAGAGGCAGAGCTTATCTTTAGTTCTCTCTTATCCATTGACAAGGAACAACAAGGATGGCATTAGTAACAATAATAATTATTACAGGCTCAAAGGAAATAGAGTTGGCAGAGAGTACACATGGTTAGTTATCTAGTCCGCCATTTCTCAGAAGATGTTTAAGAGAGCACAAGTCTCTCAAATGCCCTTTGCTAAAAGGGTTCATGGTTAAATTACTGTTCTTGGAGAACAGCGTGTACTTACTGGTCCACCACCCCACCCCCAGCCCTTTTGACTGTATTTTGCTCAGTAAATAAGAAGGTCCCTGCATTATAAATAAATCAATTGACTTTGTCTAACCCAGTGTTCTGGTGTTCATTTCACCATGGAAACCCTTATTTTAAAAATTAATATTAAAGCTTCTGGAAGGAAGATATTTTAGGAAATGCTGATGTGAGCAAAGGTGGTTACTAGGTATTCTTATCTAATATTTACTGAGAAATTTATTCATTCATTTATTCATTAGAGAAAGATATATTGAGAGACTACTTTGTATGATGTCATGGGCTGGGAGCAAAGGATACAGATTTGGCCAATGCCTACATGAAGCTAATAGTCTAGTGGACAAGACAAAATCAATTTCTCGATTAATTTATTTATTATTACCGTGGTGAGCCTATAATGAGGAGCATCAGATATATATAAATTGAAATAATGATAGAAAAGAGATGTTTATGGGTAACCAGGGAAGCCGTCCTGGTTTGTTCAGGACTGGGGATATCCTTTGATGGGTGACTTTCAGTTCTAAAATTGAGACAGTCCTGGGCAAATCAGAATGGTTGCTTATCCTAATAGACCATGATTTCTGGGGTGCCATCTGAAAACCTTATTATGGCCGAGAGATCTCTGCCATGCTGGAGACCTGTTTTCTGGGATTGCTTCACCTCCCTGAGCGTGACTTTCTGTTTCTGAGCAATGGAGGTGATGATGTCTCCTTTCTCTGTTTATTTATTTATTTTTTTGAGATAGAGTCTCGTTCTGTCACCCAGGCTGGAGTGCAGTGGTACAATCTCGGCTCATTGCATCCCTCCGCCTCCCCAGTTCAAGTGATTCTCCTGTCTCAGCCTCTCTAGTAGCTGGAACTACAGCTATGCACCACCAAGCCCAGCTAATTTTTTTGTATTTTTGGTAGAGATGGGGTTTCACTGTGTTAGCCAAGACAGTCTTGATCTCTTGACCTCATGATCCAGCCACCTCAACCTCCCAAAGTGCTGGGATTACAAGCGAGGGCCACCACGCCCGGCCTCTATTCTTATGGTTTTTTGGGAATAACAAGTGGAGTGATTCCTGTGGAAAGCCTTTGCCAGATATAACATGCTTCCTAAGTACAAGGGGTGAGTATTCCTTTAGGGAAACTGTAGTTTGTCACTCCCTGAAGGAAAGTCCCTATTTCTCCAGGAGAGGTTTTTCAGAGAGCATCTCTTGCCACACATTCAGGTTTCTAAATCCTCCAGCAAGAAGCATTTTTCACAGATGCAAGAACAGGAGCGCCTGCACAAGTTTACTATGGGAGGTGTAAATCACGGAGGGGAGCCAGTGGGGTACTTCAGGACAGCACTTCCTCTAGGCCAGAGAAGGCCTCAGCCCAAGAGCAGCTTCCTGCTGGTGCTGGTGGGGCCAGAGGGCAGTGCCCGGTCTCTGCAGAACCAAAGAGCAGGCTTGCAGTGGGCTTGTATACTCAGGCGTGTCTCATGACCTGCTGGAGTTTCAATGTCTTCATCTGTAAGGTGGGAATATTGATATTTATTTCCTCCAATTATTGGGAACTTAATACTACTGCTAGTAATATAGTCAGAATTTAATGAATTTACCATGCACAAGAAATTATGCCATGTGTTTACATTGAATCACTACAAAAAGTAGATTTGATTTTCTTCCATCTGACGAGTGTAAACAATAGGGCTTAGAGAAGTTAAGAGGCTTGCCAAGGTAGGGTGGCCAACGGTCATAGTTTGCCCAGAACCAAAAGTCCCATATTGTGGGCGATCCCTTAGCCCCAGGGAACCTGAGATGGTTGATCAAGCTAGAAATTCATACAGTTAGCAAGTAGTGGAGCTGATATACATTTGAGGTAGAAGATTACTTGTTGAAATTGTAACCAACAACCAACAACAATTATTATTGCCATTTTATTAATATGTATTTATCATATACCTATATATAACATATACATAAGAAGCATCATATTATTCACATAGGAACATTCATTATTTGATGAACTGCCATTTCAGTATAAACAAAGTGCTTCTAGCCTTCTAAGAAAACCCCTTTCTATTAATAATGCTCATCTGACATTAGTGCTGCTCATCAGTAGTTATGCTTTTCTTCTTTCTGTGCCCAGATCCTTTGATGTCAGGCATGACCAGGTGATTTGTTTTGACCAATGAAATGTGAGTGCAAGAGATGTGCATCACTTCGGGGCAGAAACCTGTAAGAACCAGGGTGCAATTCTTTATCTTCCTTGCAGTAAATGCTGATGGTGCCTCTCCCATATCATTTTTGCTGGCTGAGACACACTCCTCAGCTGCTGTGAGAGTTGAGGTGCTAGCAGATCACAGCTGTCTGTGCTCAGTAGGGTTAAGAGCACCAAATCCAGGGTCAGACCATCTAGTTCAAGTCCAGCTCTGACATGAAAAGCTGTGTGCCCCTGGGCAAGTTGCTTGACATCTCTGAGCCTTAATTTTCCTATCTCTGTAAGGGAGAATTCCTACCTCATGCTGTTAATGTGAGGATTATGTGAATAATGCTTGTGAGACTCTTGTAACAGTTGAGCACATAGTAAGCTCTGAGGTTGGCTATTCTTATTTCTCCTGCTCTACTTGTTCTCTGGTGTCATATGACAGTGCATGCCAAGGTTCGTCATATGTTGCTCAAAAGATAATTTTGATTAACATGTGAAGAACCAAATTCCAGAGATGCTGAGCAATTTCTTCAGCATCACACGAGGCTTAATACTGGAGTTTGAATAAGAACCAAGACAGGACAATGATAGTAATGACAACAAGTGAGCAATTACTATTCACTAGGCACTGAGCTGGACATTATTATTATCTTCATTTTATAGATGTGGAAATAGAGGCAAAAAAAGGTGAAATAAAGTTTTACAGTTAGTAGGTAATGGCAGAATTAGAAAAAATAGAAATTTGATATTTTAGGATGAACTATTATTTAGCAACAAAAATGGGAACTGTAATTACTATGTTTAAACAATGTGCTGTTGATTAGTTTCTTTTTAGAAGAGTAAACATGATTGCTAATTTATATACACATGTATTACATACAATGTACACTATTTTATACTTTGCTCTTTATAAAGTGACCTTTTAATTTTAAGAATACCTACATTTACAGAAAGGTTGCAAAGATAGTACAGGAGTTCCCACCTACCCTCTGCCTGACTTTCTCCAAGATTAATGTCTTATATTACAAGGGTACACTTGTCAAAACCATGAAATTAACATTGTTACATTACTATTAACTAAAATCCATACCTTATTTGGATTTCACCGGTTTTTCTACTAATGCTCTTTGTCTATTCCAGGGTCTCGTCCAAAGAGTACCAAATACTAATTGAACAAAAAGCCTTGGTGATGATCTAAATGTTTGTTTGCTAATAGAATAAAGATTTGATATTAGGGCAGTATGACTATAGCTGATATTTTTCCTATGTTTAAAGCTTTAACACTCTTGTTACGTTAACTATTTAGGAGATGTTATTACTGGAAGCCTCCTACACTGTGAGAGGCTGGTGTTGTCCAACTCAAACCAAGTTGTGGACTAGAAGGGTCCTTAAATTATCTACTGGACCCATGGCATGAGAGAAAAGCATGTGTGAGTATGTGTTTAGTAGAGCAGGTGATGGGGGAGCTGATCCACCATTTGTCACTAAGGAGGAGCAGGAAGAGGCAGGGGCTGGATGTACCTAAATTTTGCCCTGTAGGTCTGTAATCCAGTAATCGGTAAATCGGGAAGTGACTTCAAAGATTTCTTCAAAATTGGCTTCTACTGTTTTTAGAACAAACATTAATTAAGCACCTACAGTTTGACAGGCTCTCTGTTGGCTGCTAACATATACTGTCTCCTAGAATCCTCAAACTAAGATATCTATATTACTTTTTTATTTTATTTTATTTATTTTTGAGACAGGGTCTCAACTCTCTTGCCCAGGCTGGAGCGCAGTGGCATGAACACAGCTTACTGCAGCCTCAACCTCCTGGGCTACAGTGATCCTCCTGTCTCAGCCTCCCAAAGTGTTGGGATTACAGGAGTGAGACACAATTCCAGGCCCATATTTCCATTTTAAAGATCAAAGAGAGGTCAGAAAGGATAGGTGACTTGCCCAAAGACGCACAGCTTGTCAGTGACAAAACAAGGATTAAAACCTGGGTTTTTCTGAGCTTATTATTTTTTTTAATATTCCAAATTATACTCCTTTGACATCTCAAAAAAAGTCTTTTTGGAATTTGACATCAAAGGGACGTCCTAGCATTCTACTGGGTATTTGACTGAGATGCCTGAAGGGATACCTAGAGAAAGAATAAGAAGGTTTCAAGAGGCACAGTGAAGTTTTGCAGGAGGATGTTTGTTTGCAGAGCTGATGTAGATTTGAGTCTCTCGCTGCTCTCTCCCTCAGCTGAGCAATAATAAGAAATCTTGTGTCAGCCCTTGGTTAAAACCAGCATTCTGGAGGCTTTGGAGGGGGGCCAGCAGGTGCATGAATGAGCAAGCAGGGCCCAGTCAGCCTCCAGGTCCATCCAGGGGTTCCCTTGGGACTGGCCAAGTTGAGTTTCCTGGGTCAGACACTTGGGAAACCTCCAACATGGGTTTGCGGGTTCACACATGCATACATGCACATGCATGCACATTCACACACATGTACATGCACACACATGCACAATAAATAAAGTAGAATAAAAAAGCTGGAGGCACCCCAGTGTGCCCTATTTACAAACCGCTTAGTTCCTTCCGGGTGTTATTTGATTTTCTCCTTCACTGAGAAATGCGGAGACATCAGAATGAGTGATGTGCCAGAGAGAGGCCTCCCGACCATCCCTCAGCCTCCCTCACCCCCTCGGTCTCTTTCATGTGACAGGATGCCCTCAATTACTCTCTCTGGGGGGGTCCCAGTCAGAAAGAAGATGGAGCCAACCATCTGTTACCGACTCCAGTGAGCAATTTAATTTCCTCTTGTTCCCAATGAGGAGGATTTTGTAAGTACATAAATTACCGTCAGTCCTGCTTAATCAGGAACTGGCCATCTAAAGGGGTGGAGACAGTCAAGCCAGAGACACCCACTGACCGGGACCTACCAGGAGGACATCTTGCACGTTAGTAGAAAAACCATATGAGAGAAATGCCAGACACAGAAACTTCCTTAGAGATCATCCAATCTGATACCTCTTTTATAACTGAGGAAATCAGAGCCAGAAAAACAACCTATCTAGCTGGGCAAGGCAGAATTAGGACTTGAACGAAAGAGCCCCAATTCCTAAATTCACTCTTTCCAACACAACACAAGGGTAGAATGAATGACTTTATTACTTGACCTTGGGTTTAATCTCTAGAGGTAGAATAAGAAAACAATAGTCATGATGGCAATTGACAACCGCAAGAGCTACACTGTATGTTGTCAGCACTGAGAGAGGCAGACAGTGTGGATTTAATAGAGTGGGCTCTGGAGCCAAGCTGCCTGGGTTTAAATCCCAGTTCTTCCACTTAATAGCTGCGTGGCCAGAGGGCAAGTTCCTTGACCTTTGGGATTTAGAGCAGACATTGTGAGTTCTTGGCACCTATCCCTTCAGATCCCTTCAATATTTGCATCTGATCCAGCCCCACTTTGTATGGCCAGCACCTGCATCTTTGTAGGAGGGCAGTGCTTGGGCCTCTGGAACCCGTTTGTCAATGTGCAATGCAGGCCCAGTCTTCTGGGGGCAGCTTTTAACCAACAGCTGACAGGTAAGGAGGGTATTAATGCCCCAACTCCCTTGCCTCTTGACCGCAATGTGTTCAAGGCATGTGTTTTCCACCATTTTCCACAGATTGCCCGCAAGATTAAGCACTAGTTAACCACGTAGTGGCCGGCTTAATCGTCCAGTTATTGGCTGGCTTCCCTTTTCCTGATGTGACCCATGCTCTTTGCACCTCTCCAGAAATTATTCACACTTGAGTTCTTGTCTCAGGATCTGCTTCTGGTTGGTTAGTTCAAGATCAGACAGTACCTCAGCTCTCTCATCTATAAAACAGTGATAATAAGAGTTTTTATATCACAGAGTTGTTAGGATTAAATGGCCTAAACTGCAAAGAACAATGCCTGTCACTTAGTGAGAATTCAACAAATATTAGCTATGTGTCTGTAAAACACTTATTTCATTAACTATCTCATTAAGTCCATACTGTATATACTATTACTACCGTAAGATCATCCACGCTCAGAGAGGCTAAATACTTCTCCCGAAAATATGCAGTTTAAGGAAAACGTTAAGAGCCACACACAAATTCACTTTCAGAGTTTATTCCATTTTTGCCTTGCCAGGAGGTACTCTCAATACTCCCTGTCTAGGTCAAGGGTCCCTCCTCTTGTGCTCCAACAACCTCAGCCACAGCATTTGCTCAGGGTATTAATATGGGCCCCCGTTTGTTGAACTGTTCCTTTAAGCTATGAGCTAGGCATCTCTGTAAGCTTAGCGTCCAGCCCAGCACATAGTAGGTTCTGGTGAGTGCCAAATAAATGAGAACACAAACCCAAGCAGCGCGTAAGCTGTGGAGGCGGGCGGAGGCTGAAGCCCAGCATGAAAGTCTGTCTCATGGTCTTCAGATTCAACTGGAAGCATCTTGGAAATCTTCCCAGGAAATTCTCTCCTCCCACTCCTGCTGCCAACAGGATTTGTAAATATGGTTTATCGGTCCTTCGGGGGTTCCACAATTTTATCAAGGTGTCTAGTCATCCCTAAAATCTTGTCAGGAAGACAAGGATCTCCCAGGTGACCATGTAGAGATAAGCGGGAACCTCATCACAGTAACTGCTCCATTGTGAAGTCATGCTGGACTGACAGGAGCTTCCAAGGACTGTTAGAAAAAATGAGAAAAAGCAGGCAGGAGATGAAAAGTGGGTTAATGAAGCTGAAAATACAGATCTTCTAATGATAGTGATCTTCATAATCACCTCCAGCTCTTTTGAGTGCTTGTGCTGTAAACAGACTGGCCTCAACATATTGTTTAAGAATCTACATTCTAGAGTCAATGTTGCCTCAGTCTGAATGTTGCTCTGTCACTTACAAGCTTTGTGATCCTGGACAAATTATTCAGTTTCTCTGTGTCTCACTTGTCTTACTTGTAAAATGGGCATGATACCTACTTTCCTCACAAGACTGTGTAAATAAATAGCATATAAAATGCTTGAGACAGTGGTCTCCCACAGAGTAAGCAAGCAGGCAATTGCTAGTTTTTATCAGGCATTAAATAACACTTAAAGGAGTAGAGTGGATTAAGACAATCTCTGTTCCCAAGAGGCTCAGAATCTAGGGTTAAGGTTGCTAAAGTTTTTTGATTATGTGCCCTATCTATAATAAAAATCTTGAGCATGTTTCCCCAATAAATGTTTCTTTATTGAAGGAAGATGAATGATCAAACTAAGAGGAAGATACTGGGGAGCGTGGAGAAGCAGTATCTAGCCCAGCCCTGGGGGTAGTGACCAGTGGAAGTTAAGAAAGGCTTCCTGGAGGAGGTGATACTTGAAGTGAGTTATCTGGGATACATCAGTTAACTGAGTAGAGAAGGTGGGAGAGAGCTTTCCAGAGAAAGGAAATATTTTGGGCCTCAGATGATAACTGGGTAGTGAAAGGACAGTTTGAGAAATGTTGAATAGCATGATGAGGTTATGATGTTGGGTGGGTGGGTGGGTGGGGAATGGTAACTCTGCTGCTTGGGATATAGACCTGAATCCTATAGAGAACCCATTAGCTCCCAGACCCTGGCCCCTGCCCCTCTCAGTCACACCTGATGCCACCCTCTATGTCATGCTGCCTCGACCACACTGGCTGTCTTAGGTCCAGTTCTTCCAAAGTGGACTCTAAGCCACAGATTCAAATACAAATGGTTTGTTCTCCAACTATTCTCAGGAGAAAGCAACAGAAGCAGGACAAAGAACAGGAAGAAGCCAAGTCAGAGAGTGGTTTAGGTGAAGTCTCAGACTCAACTTAATCTAGCAGAAAGCTCTGGTGTAGAACAAACATCCCAGAATTTGACCTGTGTTCTTCCATGCTAGCCAGTTACTGGAGCTGGACACCTGAGGAGCACGTGAATGTCCAGGCACTGCTGGCCTTCTGTACACATGTGGTGTCTCCAGTGCCCCGACAAGCCTCTGAAGGTTGCCGGAGTAGGTGAGCTGCTGGCAGCAAACACAGAAGCAGGAGGGATCCCAGAGCATGGGGTCAGGAGTGGAGGTGAGGAAACCAGTAGTGCCCAGCACCCTGGCCTTCTTTTAATTCACTGAATGCTCCCAGCTGTCTCCTTCCTACCTGAGGGCCTTCGTACCTACTGCACCACTGCCTGGAACCCTCTCTAGCCTAGTTCATCTGGCTAACTGCTCTCATCCTTTCCATCACAGCTAAATCCCATTTCCCCAGAGAAATAGTCTGATCCTCAAGACTGGATTAGGCCCATCTATTAGTTGTTCTCAATGCAGCCTACATTTTCCTGCCTGCGACTTCATAGCAAATTGTAATTATGTCTATAATTAATCCTCATGTATTAGGCAGAATTCTGTCATATGCAAATGACAGAAAACTCAAACTAGCTGAAGCAAAAAGAGTGGAATGGCTTGGGTAGCTGGAAAGGGTGTGAGTGTGATTCGGAATGGAAGGACAGATGGACTGCAGCCACCAGGGCATCAGAGAGAGGATGGGACTTCCACATAGTCAGATTCTTTCTCTCTTCTCATCTCTGAGGTTTGCTTGGCCTCCTCTGCTAATATTGCACGTATGGAGGGAACACGATCACTGACATCTCCAGGTCCACAAGTCACAGCTGTTGTGAAAGTGTGATTGCCCCAAGTGAATCAAATACCCACCCACAGAACTGTCTCCACCTAGGATATGGAGATGGGCTACTGTGAATGGCTGGGCCTTGGTCATGTGCCCACCCTGCTCAGCACTGCCACTGAGCAGGCCTTTGGAGTCATGTGACCTGAAGGGGCAGTGCTATTCCTCAAAGGATGTGTTGGGGTAGGACTGGGTACACAAAAATTGTATCTTTTTTTTTTTTTTTTGAGGCAGAGTTTCACTCTTGTTGCCCAGGCTGGATTGCAATGGCATGATCTCGGCTCATCACAACCTCTGCCTCCCGGGTGAAAGTGATTTTCCTGCCCGTGCCTCCCAAGTAACTGGGATTACAGGCTTGCGCCACCATGCCTGGCTGATTTTTGTTTTTTTAGGAGAGACGGGGTTTCTCCATGTTGGTCAGGCTGGTCTCGAACTCCCAACCTCAGGTGATCAGCCTGACTTGGCCTTCCAAAGTACTGGGATTACAGGCATGAGCCCTATTCCCCACAGATACCTACAGATATTTCCTACTTGGTGTCAGCCACTGTTCTAGGTAATTGACGATATGAAAGTAAAATATAAGTTCTTGCTTGTATTAGAGCGTATACTGGAATGGGAGAAGACAGAAAGCAAGCACATTAATAATCACAAATGTCTCCAGTGGTGATATGTGCTCTGGAAAAGAACCAAACCAGGTACGGGGGGCAAGGGGTGCTGAGGGGACACTATTCTACAGGGTAGTTAGAGATGGCATCTTGGAAGGTGGTATAGACAGGTGCTAGATGGTGAGGCTCTTCTGTGCTATTTTGATGGATTTGAAATGAGTCCTCCTGCCTGGTCTTCTCCCTCCTTTTCTTCTCTGCCTTCTCCATTCATTCATTTGCAGTTTTTCTTAAAATGTAGTATTTAGACAGTATGTATCAATGCCCAGTAAGGGCAGGTTATTTGTCAAAAATGCAGGTCCCCAGGCCTTGCCCGAGACCCATAGATTCAAACTCTCTGGGGTGAGGCCTGAATATCTGAATCATTAACCAGCTCTCCAGGTGATTCTTAGGCATATTCACGTGTAACAACTATTCTCTGAGGTGGTAATGAGATAAGAGAGGCTCTGAACAGGGAAGAAAATTGATCTCATGTGTGTTTTAGAAAGATGGGTCTGAAAGCTACACAGAGGGTGGCTACAGGCCCAGAGACTGAGAGAAAACATGTGGCCCAAGGTGGTGGGCAGAGAGAATGTTCAGGTGACAAATGGAAAGGAACTGGTGACTGCTTGAGTGTGGGGATGAAGGAGAGGGAACGGTTCAAAGGCTACCTGTGGTCTGACTAGGGTATGGGGCGGTAGCAATACCCCTCGCCTAAACAGGAACTGTGCACATCACTGACATTGCACTTCTTTATCTAAATACTCTACATCCAAGAAGTAATTTTAGAGTCACATATTACAGCAGTAGCATGTGACTGCATTCAGCAGATGGATTAAAAAAACTTGTTTATTTTCTTTCTTATCTTCCTAGTATTTCTTCTTTTTTTTTTTTTTTTTTTTTAGTTTGAGACGGAGTTTCGCTCTTGTTACCCA